AATGACCGATGATACTAAAGTGAAACTTTAGGGTATTTAAGTGTAACCAAATACAACTAGGGGTATATATGTGTAGAGTTAAGTAAGACTGTAGGGTATTTAAGTGCAATTAGGCCATTATTTTATTATTAAAATTTCATTTTTATAATTGATTGTCTATATGCATGCATTATAAAGATGTTTACGTGCGTTGCACGTGTATGTGATACACACAGACACATGTACATATATATGGAATTTATACACAAGTAACAACTGTATTCTTTGCTACGTTACTCGGACACGGTGGTTTGGCCGTCGTACCGGCGTCGATACGACCCGACACCGATCCGGGTACGAAATACGGGTCGGATACGGTGGTTGGCACTCGGATACGGCAAGCTTCGAGGGACGAGCTTCGAGGGAGGAGTCGACGAGCTTCGAGGAGGAGTCGATGAGCTTCGAGGGAGGAATCGACGAGCTTCGAGGGAGGAGTCGACGACGAGCTTCGAGGGGAGACGAGCTTCGCGGGAGAACAGTGACAACCTGAGCCCTAGAATCAAGTTGGAGCGAAAATTGTATACTTGTAATATGTTGTATGAGTAGCATTTGTATGGGTAAGGATAACATTTGTAAATAAAAAATTTGTAATATTTACCTTGTAATATTTATATGGGTAGCATTTGTAAATAAAAATTTGGGATAGGATTGTAATATTTTGTATACTTGTAATATTTACCTTCCATTTCAACAATATACTTGTAATATTTTGAGGAATGCTTGTAATATTTTTTTTATTGTCGTATCCCCGTACCCGTGTCGAAATTTAGGACGGTGTCCCCGTATCTAAAATTTTCAGAAATTTCGTATCGGACACTCGGATCCGCACCCGTATCGGATACTCGTACCCGAGTCCATGTAACGTAGATTCTTTGAGAGAATAAATGAAGTGCAGAGTATAGAAGCATAATCAATTATACAGCTGCAGAAATATGGCTATGATAATTGCAATCTGAAAGTAGGTTACAATGAGAACTAAGATGACTTGGAAGCAGCATGCTTGTTCAACTGATCTCACGAAATTGTTAAGACGTATAGCATCAATACCATTTTCCTCACCTTCCTACATTGCCTAAGCCGCCACCCCCCCCTCCCCCCCCCCCCCCCCCCCCCCCCCCCCAACAAAAAGAAAAAAGAAAAAAGAAAAAAAGAAAACACACACACACAAACATAGACACACAGAAACCAACCCATCCCCACACCCAGCACGCACAGTATCCAAAAGAAGAGGGAAAACTCCAACCAAATCCCCCAATAACAGAGAACCCCCACCCATCCACCCAAAAGAGATACAAGGGAATGGACAATGATGTAAATTCACATAAAGTGTAGGTCTATAACCATTTAACGCCCCCAATTATAAAGATAAGTTCTAGAACAGTTATACACAAACCCTCTTGAATGCTTAGCCAAACACTTACGTATTACCACGATGCTGATTCCTAGGGAAAGCATATTTTCACAACCTAGTAAACAAGACAGATCTGAAAGCACAGAATTCAATGTTTTCCTATACAAAAAGAAAAGTTTAAAGTGCAGTATCTAAACATGTAGAACAAGGACTTGTATTTCAGTGGGAGTTTACCTCACACTCTCTAGTCTCTACTGGCAACATATTTCGAACATCATGCTGCTCAAATCTAGAGGCAAGGAACTGACCTCCAGCTGCTAGCCATGGTGTGACAGCCATAGAAATACCAACCACCAAAAACAACAAAGATGAAAGTTGAGGAGACATTATACCCTACCATAATAAGATAAATAGAAGAAGAAAAACTCAGTTCTCTGGATATGCAGCTAAAGCAACTAAATATCGTCCCTTATTTAAAAGAGAATTTCCATAGCGAAAATTGTAGAAAACAACACAAAAAATGCAGAGCTGGAGAGGTAAAGCTGGTTCACAGCTTCCCCAAAAGCTACAAAAGCGAATTCACCAGGTGCAAGAAGAAGACCAACTCGAATAGCTGCTATACTAGAAATGCCAAAAATCCTTCCGATTAAAGCAACCAGTATAGCCTTTCCACCAATCAAGAGACTTAATGATGCTATAATAACAGGAAAATTGGAAAAAAGAAGCTTCAGTTCGGACGAAAAAATTACGGTGGGAACGGACAAATGCACGGAAAAGAACGTCTCAGCCTGAGTTGGGACACCCCGAGGTGTCTTGGCACAAGCGAGACACCCCAAAGGTGTCTCGGCCTCGCTGAGACGCCCTGGGGTGTCTCCAGCCCCAAAAATCGGTCGTTACGCGGTTTTAACCACCCGGATTCCCTTGGAGCCTATAAATACAGCCTCATGCCCTTATTTTTCGAGATCTGAAATTTTGGAGAATTGGTGAAGCCCTGCCGGATTGAAGATTGATCGAGTTCTTCAACGCTAGAGAGAGAGATTCTTCAGATCTGCACCACCCGCGTCCGATCCTTAGGATTATCCCGTTGCGATAATCCTAAGAAGAGCAATTATCTCACTGTTGCCGAGATAAGCGCTTCTGCTTCTAGATTCCTTCGCGAATCGACGGAGTTCTGAATTTGATCTGATTGTCAGGTAGTCCACGGATATCGACGTCCCCGTCACCGGCTAAAGACCCACGCAAGCAAGAAAAGACGAACGGATCTTGCGTTATTTTCGAGAAAGTTGTAATCTTTCATTTTCTTTTGTTAAAATTTGAATTCTTTGTAAACGATTAATATTATAATGAATTCAGCAATGAAGGCAACTTTTACCGAAAACAGTAATAAAATACTTCATGCCGTCTCGAGTGACGAAGCTATTAAAATCACAAGTATCTGAGTGAATCAGATCCAATAGGTTGGTGCTCCTTGAGATACTTGGAAATGGTTTCCTTGTCAGCTTCGCTTGCGCACAGACTTCACACTTATCAGGTTTGTTACCCCTATATTTTGGAAGTAATCTTAACTTCTCCATGCTAGACAGCTTTCTATAATTCACATGTCCTAGCCTATTGTGCCATAATACAGAGGAGAAAGCAGAAGAGGATACTTCATTTACAACTGAGTTGTCACCTGAAAGAGCATAGTCACACAATTATCAAGTTGATTAACATTGTGTACTGTTCACTTCTTTGATGCTTTGCAGTTTTTGGCAAAATGTCCTTGCTTCCCACAATTGAAACATTTGCCGCTCTTCTTAAAATCTTTCTTCTGTACATTCAGGTTCTTCGGATTATGATTCTTCTTTTTATTAAAAGATTTTTTTTCTTAGAAGAATTGATACTTTTCTCAGAGTTAGTTGCCACCATGTTAGCAGACGCCTTCTGCTTAGCTAGTAGCTCATTCTTCGTACGAGTCCGAATCTCGTCCTCGATCCGAATGAACCTCTTTAAATCAGACAATGTCACCTGTCTTTTCCTTCTACGAATGTCCGTGGAGAACGACATCCAAGATGGAGGAAGCTTGTTGACAATTGCACCAGAAATAAAGGTTTGACAAAGACTCCAAGATGGAGGAAGCTTGTTGACAATTGCACCAGAAATAAAGGTTTGACAAAGACTGATCTTTTCATCATTCAGCTTCATAACAAGCTTTTCGAGCTGCACCAGAAATAAAGGTTTGACAAAGACTGATCTTTTCATCATTCAGCTTCATAACAAGCTTTTCGAGCTCTTTAACTTGAGGCAAAACCTCAGTGTCATCTTCGAACTTAAAGTCCAGAAACTTATCGATAAGGTGAGACTTAGAAAGCTTCTCCTTATTCTTGTATTGCTCCTCAAGAGCATTCCAGATTTCTTTTGCAGATGGCTTGTTAGTGTAAGCATCTGCCAGATGATCAACCAGGCAGTTAAGGAGATAACTCCTGCAGAAATAATCATCTTTATCCCAATAGGCTTCACACTCTGAGTCTTCTTCAAAGTCAGGTTTCTCCTCAGAAACCACATAGTAGATTTTTAGAAGTTGCATCCCAAAAATCACTTTCCGACGCCATGCGTTAAAGTTAGATCCATCAAAGTTTTTTAACTTGAGACAGTCCACTCCAAGAGTCATCGCAGGATCCATTAGTAGATCAGAAATATTGCTTTAAGATTGTTGGAAATTGTGGTTAAATCTGGAATTAAACTGAAAAAACTGATGTGCTGTAATTTTTAATTTTTTAGTTCACTGCTGTGCGTTATAGAAACGCTGTGCTTAAAATAATATTTGGCCTACTCCGGTGCAAGGATCCCAAGGCTAAACTGCTTCCAGGAACAGCAGTACAGTACTCTGGTGTGCACCAACCCAGTACCGTCAAGATCTCTTCAATCTATAAGACCTTTTGGTCAAGGAAAAATATCTCCTCGATCTCAGAACCTTACGGTTCAAAACCTTTCGGTTTAAGACAAGTTCCTGTGGGCACAAGTTCCTGCAGCAGCAACACAACAGCAACAACATCGAGATCGACGTTCGTTTTCCAGCACGCGACGTTCGTGTTCCACGCTCGCGAGAGGATTTTCAACCTGCAACCAAGAGCTGCCTAAGGACGCTATTTATAGGTCTCTAAGGCCATCTCAAGTATCACAAGCAATTAATGTAATTGTTACAATTCTTAATGGCAATTAAGATTGTAACATTAATGCATTAAATTGCTCTTAATGCTGTTGTAACCGCTGCATGCATTAACTCCTGAATACGAGGCAATCAATGGACGTGTTGCTACGAAATGCGAGGGTCACGACTCAGTAGATCAGACGAACCTCGTTTGACAAACGAACGTCGTCAAACAGGTGAACCTCGTATGATAGACGAACCTTGTCGAACGAGCGAACATAGTCAAACAGGCGAACCTCGTATGACATACGAACCTCGTCGATCGAGCGAACCTCGTCAAACAGGCGAACCTCGTATGACAGACGAACGTCGTCAAACAGGTGAACCTCGTATGACAGACGAACCTCGTCGAACGAGCGAACATAATCAAACAGGCGAACCTCGTATGACATACGAACCTCGTCGATCGAGCGAACCTCGTCAAACAAGCGAACCTCGTATGACAGACGAACCTCGTTGAACAAGCGAACCTCGTATGACAGACGAACCTCGTCAAACGAATGAACATCGTCAAACAGGCGAACCTCGTATGACAGATGAACTTCGTCGAACGAGCGAACCTTGTCAAACTACGAGAACGCTAGGGTCACCCTCGTGCGAATACGCAGCTCGTCCGCATGCTGCGAAGCAGCCTACGAGGCCACCTTCGTGGCGATCATAGTGGCGCCAACTCGCCCCGATGCCTCCGTGCGAAGTGCAAAGTGCGCCTAACAAAGCGCCACTTAGCGCCTCAGCCCGATTAGCCCCGATCCCCGGCCCATTGGCCCACGGCCCACTAGAACTTATGAGGGATTAATTCAAATAAAACACTTCTCGGCTTGTCGTTGGCAAGCCTCGAACAAGGGACATTTTGAAACAATAAAACATTAACTTTCCACTAGGCTACTAAGCATTTATGAAAAGTACTTGTAGTTAATATATACATAGTTTAAAAACTCATTTTGAAAAGCAGTTTTGACCAAAAAATCCAACACATATATCCAATTTTATTAATGGCCATGTCATCTAAACAGAAATGAAACAAGTCTTTCTTTATCTTCTTTTCTAATGAGTCAATTAAGCCTCATGTCATACAGTATTACAGTTAATATTTGAATGACTTGCATATATCCAATTTTATTAATGGCCATGTCATCTAATTTAAGGGAGCCTTTTCTAATTTGGGTAAATTGCAAATAAACCCCTTCATCTATATCTACAGTTAGTAGATATCCTTCATCAACTCATTTATTAGCACTTAGCTCCCCTTGTATTGCCGCCTTTAGAAATATACTTGCAGGTAATACACCCCTTCCTCATAAGCTTCTACATAAGGGCATTATCTGCAATTTATTCTTCTAATTGATCTGGTTTGTCAGAGGAGGCATCGATTTATCGCATTCTAAAATTATATAAACTATAGAATGTGATTTTATAGCAACGAAGATGCAACTATGTCATAATAAAATTGTTGCTTCCTAGTACGAGAAAGGCTAAATAGCCAGCTTCCCAGAGCATATTTACAATTAACACAAATCTTCATACAATACATTTTGCCCAAAAAATAGATTCTACAGCAAGAAACTTGCAATCAGCATTGAACCAGTAAAAATACATGGACACTACATATACCGAAGCATCACAGAGCTCTCATTATTCGCATATGCACTTTATTAACACAACGATAAACAGAAGAAGAACAACACACGCACATGTTATGGATGACAGAACTATAAGATACACATATTCATCGAGTTTCTTTAGCGTCTTTCAGATGCAACAGATTCGGCACTGAACAAGTATCTCACACGAGAGAGGACGGAGTCATGAGTGGGATCATATGGGTGATCCTTCGACGGAATTTCCAGGATCGCAGGAACTGGTCTGTTGTAGCTATCGACCAGAAACCTGATCATATTCGCGATCTGAAAAAGGGAAAAGGAGAAGGCTTGATGAATTGCATGAGCCGTTGTCAAATAAATGGTAGAGATAATTTCTCTAAAGCATGAGATGTTTAGTCACAACCAGATTTAAAGCACAAACATTGGTCCTGTTAAGGAAAAGCATAAATATAAGCACTCATATCAAGGTGCTTGAGCTATTTTCAAAGTTCAAAGAAGCAATTTAGATAAATATGATTGAAGTGTTGAAAATGTGGTGTGATTAGTCAGCTGTCTGTATTGAAGTTTAATTACTTGAAGATGTTATCCTTATTAAGCTTGGTTACAAATAAGCATCTTTAAGATATCCTTCTGATTTAGGAATATGTTGTGCATAATTATTAAACTGCTAGCACGACCAGCATATCAACTAATCGAGGCAAATTTGTTATTGTTGAAGGCAAATGAGTAAATTTTTCATTTTACCTTCTCACTAGAAAAACATGACATACCTTTTAGTTTGTAAGTAGATCATGCTTGTTGCTCAAGGCAAAGTTCTACTAAAACGTCTTTTCTTCCATAAATTTTATATTCTTAAGTTTTTTCTATTTGCAACGTATGTTCTTCTCTTATTATCATTCAAGAGTTTGCTCAATTCATAATAGCCACATCTCGTCCTCAGCTTCAGATATTGGAGGGAACTAAATTAAAATTTTCTCTTTTCATAATTTTAATTTAGATTTAATTTGGACTTTGTACATGAACTCTTTTTGAATTTTGATACTCCACAGTTCAATTTTACTACAGTAATAACTCTTCACTTACTTCCCTCGTACTCATCCACGTCCCCTTTGTGAACGTGTTGTTTCCACGCGTCTTGTGGGGTCTACCACATAAATAAGACGCGGATTCGTTTCCGCGGAACCGAGGTGAAGCCGGCCCACGAACTGCACCCGCACTGCTGCATATATATAAACATTTGTTTATTAGGTTTTTTTTTAGAGTGCTGGAGGTTTGATTTTTTTTTGGTTTGTGCGGCTTCGGGCGATTTTCTTTGCGGCTACAGAGAGGTGCAAAAGAAAAAGAAAAAGAAAAGGCTTTTCTTTTTAGGGTTTGTGCATCCTTTTGTAGGGAGATATTTGTGAGGGATTTGAGAGTTTGTTTGAGGGTTTAGATTGAGAGTGATTGTAAACCCTAGTTGTATTCTCTCCCTCTATTAGTAGATCTCCCCCCTCCTTGCCCCGTGGACGTAGGCAATTTGCCGAACCACGTTAAAATTGGTTGTACTGATTTTGTGTGATTTGTAATAGCTTTTAGGGTCCCTCGACGCGCAGTCCTAGAGCTGACGAGAGGAAGAGCTAATATCCTACTTTGATAGGATATAAGCTTCAGATTCTTGTTCCCTTTGAGAAACAAGAATTCTTATTGCGACCTAACTCTTGTTGTGCTGCCGAAGTGTGCTGCCGAAATTTCCGCTGCGCGCAACAAGTGGTATCAGAGCCCAGATTTCAGATCTAGGATTTTTTGGTGGAGGAAGATTCTTGTGTGAAGCTTAGTTCTTGGAGTTCTCGGCTTCGGTGGAGATAGCATTAGGAGTTGCCGTTGGAGATTTCGCTTTCCTCGTGTGGATAGGAGATCTATTTGGAATCCGATCTAGGGTTCAGTTGGGTGGTTCCTAATTCTATCAAATTTGTTCTTTCTCTACAATTTGGAGTTAGTTCGCAATGGGAGAAGAAGGTGAAAGCAGCAAATCGATGGCGGGTACAATACAAGTTGGTTTTCAAAACACCAAAATTAGTGTGGTGAAATATGACGGAAAAATCAACTTTGGTTTGTGGATGAGCGACGTACAGGATGCGTTAAATGCTCAGAATTTGGAAGAGACCATCATGGTCCACGAGAGGCCACCTAAATATGAAGAGGCGGTATGGGAGAAAATGAATAGGAACGCTTGTGGGGTGATCAGGTCCTGTTTGGAACAGGAGCTGAAGTATGATGTGATTGGGGTGACGTCTGCGATGAAGATGTGGGAAATTCTCAACAATAAGTACCTTACGAAGAGTGTTGAGAACCGATTGCACTTGCTGCGTAGGTTATTCAGATTCCAGATGTCCAGAGGCACCTCGCTTGCGGCTCATGTGAACAACTATACGAAGTTGTTGTCGGACTTGGCGAATGTTGATGAGAAGATATCGGATGAGTACAAGGCGATTATTTTGTTGGGCTCCTTACCGGATGAGGAGTATGATACCTTCGTGCTCACTTTGTTGAACGGGAGATCTTCTATCAGCTATAGTGAAGTGACTAACGCTTTGACGAACTACGATTTGAGGAGGAAGGATAAGGAGACTTCCCGCGCTAGTACTTCAGGAGAGGCCTTGTCGACAAGAGGTAGAAGCCCATATCCGAAAGGTGGTAACAGAGGGAGGTCAAAGTCTAGAGGCCGTCACCAACTAACAAAGAACCAATGTGCATTCTGCAAGGAGCAGGGACATTGGAAGAGAGACTGCCCGAAGCTCAAGGAGAAAGAGAATGGCAAGAAAAAGGGCCCGAAGGCCAATGAGGTGAACATTGCGAAAGGCGATGATTCCGATGATTCGTGCTTTTCTCTACTGATTACTCCGGAGGTGAACCATGTGGATGCATCAGATTGGATGCTTGATTCCGGCGCTACCTTTCATGTGACCCCTAGGCGAGACTGGTTTGCATCTTTTGAGAAAGTCGACGGGGGCGTTGTTGTCATGGGAAATGATCAATCCTGTGGCGTTTGTGGGATAGGTACCGTGCGGATTAGGATGCACGATGGAGTAGTCCGTGAGTTGAAGGAGGTGAGATTTGTTCCTCAACTGAAGAAAAATCTTATCTCAGTTGGAGCTTTGGAGGCGAAGGGATTCAAGGTGACTTTCGAAAACGCTGTAGCGAAGGTTACTAAGGGATCATTGGTGGTGATGAGGGGAGTCCGCAATCGGAATTTGTATTATCTGAAGGGAAGCACCGAGATTGGCCAGGTTGCTTCGGCTATTTCAGAAGCGGACATGAGCAGACTTTGGCACTATAGATTGGGGCACACAGGTGAAAAGTCACTGCAGACATTGTGCAAGCAGGGGCTATTGAAGGGAGCCAAGAGTGGGAAGATTGAGTTCTGTGAGCACTGTGTTCTTGGCAAGAAGACGAAGGTGAAGTTCGGGACTGCCATTCATCAGACGAGGGGCATCCTGGATTACGTGCACACAGACGTTTGGGGTCCCACCAAGACTGCATCACTTGGTGGTCGACATTGGTTCGTCACTTTTGTAGATGACTATTCTAGGCGTTGTTGGGTGTACACCATGACGAAGAAGAGTGAAGTCCTAGATTTGTTTGTGGAGTGGAAGAAGAGATTGGAACTGCAGACTGGGAGAAAGATCAAGACGTTGCGATCCGACAACGGTGGTGAGTATACTTCTGACCCCTTTCAGCAGCTATGTCGAGACGAGGGCATAGAGAGACACTTCACAGTTAGTCATACACCGCAGCAAAATGGGGTGGCAGAGAGGTTGAATCGGTCTTTACTGGAGAAGATCCGATGCTTATTGTCGCAGAGTGGTTTGGAGAAGATCTTTTGGGCTGAGGCACTTACATATGCGAGCCACCTCATTAATAGGCTGCCTTCATCTGCGATTGAGGGGAAAACCCCTATGGAGATGTGGTCGGGAAAGCCAGCACATGACTATGACCAGCTCAAGGTATTCGGGTGCCCTGCATATTATCATGTTAGAACTGATAAATTGGAACCTCGAGCTAGGAAGGCCATATTTGTAGGATTCAAGCGTGGTGTCAAGGGATACAAGCTTTGGGATCCAGTTGATAAAAAGATTGTTCTGAGTAGGGACGTCACATTTGATGAGGCTTCTATCTTGAAGCTTCCCAGCTCTCATCAGGTGGAGAGCGACCCGACGGAGGAGATATCGCAGGTGGTGGAGATCGATGCAGCTCCACATTGTCCAGATGGTACAGTATCCATGCAGGTGCCGACTGAGGTGACGCCAGGCGAGCACGACGATGACACGGAGGATACGAGTACAAATGTGCAGGATCAGGAACCGACGGCTCAGGTTCAGGATTCTATTGCGGCTAGGAGACAGAGGAGAAACATACAGATGCCAGCACGGTATGCCGACACAGTTGCGTATGCACTTCCGGTGGAGAGTATCGATGAGTTAGTGCCTACTACATTCAGAGAGGCCGAGCAGAGTTCGGAGGCTGATTCGTGGCAGGTGGCTATGCAGGAGGAGATGGAATCTCTTCATAAGAACGATACATGGGAGCTTGTTGAGCTTCCAAAGGGGCGGAAAGCAATTGGTTGCAAGTGGGTATACACGAAGAAGGAGGGCATTGAAGGCACTCCGTTGAGATTCAAGGCTAGGTTGGTTGCGAAGGGCTATGCACAGGAGGAAGGTATTGACTATAATGAGGTTTTCTCTCCGGTGGTGAAGCATTCTTCGATTCGGATTTTGCTAGCTTTGGTGGCACAGTATGGTTTGGAATTAGATCAGTTGGATGTGAAAACGGCATTTCTTCATGGTGATCTTGATGAAGAAATATATATGACTCAGCCATTGGGATTCCGAGCTGCAGGGAAAGAAAAATTAGTTTGCAAACTGAAGAAATCGCTATACGGTTTGAAGCAGTCTCCTCGACAGTGGTATAGGCGATTCGATGGTTTTATGCTTGGTCATTCGTACACTCGGAGCCAGTTTGATCCTTGCGTATATTTTCGCAAGTTGAAAGGAGGTGCGTATATTTATTTGTTGCTCTATGTCGATGACATGTTGGTTGCCTCTATTTCCAGGTCGGCTATAGATGAGTTGAAAGTTCAGCTTTCAAATGAGTTTGAGATGAAGGAATTGGGCGAGGCGAAGCGCATTTTAGGGATGGAGATCGGCAGAGACAAGAAAAATGGCAGAATTTGTTTGACACAGGTGGCTTATTTGAAGAAAGTTCTACAGCGATTCCATGTTAGCATGGATACGAAGCCAGTTAGTGTACCATTGGGAGCCCATTTGAAGCTTTCAGCTGGTCTCTCACCGAAGTCAGTTGAAGATCGTGAGTTGATGTCGAAGACTCCATATGCGAGCGCGGTTGGGAGCTTGATGTACGCAATGGTATGTACGAGACCTGATTTGTCACAGGCAGTAAGCATGGTATCGAGATACATGCACGATCCAGGAGTGGGTCATTGGGATGCCGTGAGATGGATTTTGAGGTACATTCTAGGTACGCTCAATGTTGGTTTGGTTTATGAGCGGGACACTACAGGTGGGCAGCTATGCATTGGCTATGTGGATTCGGATTATGCCGGGGATTTGGATAAGCGCCGGTCTACGACGGGGTATGTGTTCACTTTAACCCGTGCGCCGGTGTGTTGGAGATGCACCTTACAGTCGACGGTGGCTTTGTCTACGACGGAGGCAGAGTATATGGCAGTTACGGAGGCTGTGAAAGAGGCTATTTGGCTTCGAGGACTTTTGGAGGAACTTGGTATATCGCAGAGGTCCGTCACTATTCATTGTGATAGCATGAGTGCTATCTATTTGGCGAAGAATCAGGTTTTTCATACGAGGACGAAGCACATTGACGTTCGTTATCACTTCGTTCGGGATGTTCTTGAAGATGGCGATGTGAAAATTATGAAAGTCCACACGAAGGATAATCCGGCGGATATGCTCACTAAGGTGGTTCCGAACAACAAGTTTGATCATTGTCGAAACTTGTTGCACATCCGTAATTGTTGAGCCGTTGGCGGCCATTTGGGTGAACTACGTTCGGCTTGATTCCTTGGGCAAGAGGATACGTAGGCAGTCTTTTAGATGCAGCCGGTTTGAATTTGTTGGTGGGGGTGAGATTGTTTGGACTCTCGTTCGGGTTCTCGACTTGTTGTGAATGAGTTCGTACTGGACACAACAAGTTGGGACATTTGGATGCTTTGGTGTCGGCTCAGTTTTGGAAGAAACTTCACCGAGGTGGAGAATTGTGAACGCGTTGTTTCCACGCGTCTTGTGGGGTCTACCACATAAATAAGACGCGGATTCGTTTCCGCGGAACCGAGGTGAAGCCGGCCCACGAACTACACCCGCACTGCTGCATATATATAAACATTTGTTTATTAGGTTTTTTTTTAGAGTGCTGGAGGTTTGATTTTTTTTTGGTTTGTGCGGCTTCGGGCGATTTTCTTTGCGGCTACAGAGAGGTGCAAAAGAAAAAGAAAAAGAAAAGGCTTTTCTTTTTAGGGTTTGTGCATCCTTTTGTAGGGAGATATTTGTGAGGGATTTGAGAGTTTGTTTGAGGGTTTAGATTGAGAGTGATTGTAAACCCTAGTTGTATTCTCTCCCTCTATTAGTAGATCTCCCCCCTCCTTGCCCCGTGGACGTAGGCAATTTGCCGAACCACGTTAAAATTGGTTGTACTGATTTTGTGTGATTTGTAATAGCTTTTAGGGTCCCTCGACGCGCAGTCCTAGAGCTGACGAGAGGAAGAGCTAATATCCTACTTTGATAGGATATAAGCTTCAGATTCTTGTTCCCTTTGAGAAACAAGAATTCTTATTGCGACCTAACTCTTGTTGTGCTGCCGAAGTGCTGCCGAAATTTTCCGCTGCGCGCAACACCCTTTTGGTGAGCTTATAAAAAAAATTCATTGATTAGTCCTCCAAATTTTCATTATGAACTCGGGAAATATGTCATCTCTCTTACTGACTGGACATAAATCCCTCTTATTAATGGTGTAAACGCTGAAATTCCGTGTTGTTAGTCGCAAGAAATCTAAACTTGGGTTGGGAGTTAATTGAAATCAACCAATATTCTATAGATACCTTGATTTTTTTCCATATTATTTGCAGTGCAAGGTATTCTTTTGGATCTCTTCTCCAATTTTGAATAAAAAAATAGTTGTTCGATTAAGTTTTAAGGTTTTCTCCAAATTTTTTTTTCAATTAATGTCCAAATATGATTTGAAATTATGGAGTTCTGGAGTTGGGTATGATAGCGGGTTTCATATTGAGTTTAATTATTGTAGTAAGATTACAACATGTGAATTTTATTTACCTTGCATAATGTTGTTACTTTGAATGTTGAATTATTAGACACTTTGCTCTGTCGGAAATTCTTATGAATGCATAATATGCATTATAAACAAGAACAGGAGAAATAGGATTTTGAGTTTAATGGGTTTACCTTAATCACAAAAAGGAAGAAGAGATGAGAGTGGGGAAGAAATCTGCAAAGTAGAGAGGGGAATAAATGTTAATTTGGGGTGGATACCAACGTCCGGCGGCGGAGGAGCTCCGACGAGCTCCAGAATGACGCAGGCGAGCTCGAGCCCCGCGTGCGAGCGCCTCCCCCGAGCTCTGCGTTCGAACCCACCCGCTTGAGCTCTGCGTTGGAACCTCCCCCTCTTAGCTTTGCGTTCGAACCCCCTTTTACCTTGGCGTTTGTTCGACCTCGGCGTTTTCTCCGACCTCTGCGTTCGCTCGACTTTGGCGTCCGCGGGCCGCTGGCGACAGGCTGTCGCCAGCCCATCAACTCCGCCTATATAAACCCCCCTTCGCCTAGGGTTTTGCTCCTGCTGATTTTTCCCCCTCCTCCGATTTTTCTCTCTGGCGGCTGCCTAAAATCGCTGCTGCGATTTCGTTTTAATCCCCAGCCTTCAACAGTAGTTGAGGGGGATTTAAGAAGAGAGAGAGAGAGAGAATTAAAGAGGGTTTTATATTGTGGGGTTATTCATTTATTCTCAAGTGAGACTTGAAAAGGGTTCATACCCTTTAATTATTAACACTGTAGCTATAGTGTTTATTTGAGAAATCTCAGTTTTGGGATTTGCTCTTGATTTGTAATTTCTTGTTTAATTAATAAGAAATTATCTGTGTGGCTCCCGAGGACGTAGGCAGTTGCCGAACCTCGTTAAAACTTGGTGTATTTTTTCTATTCTGCGTTTCTGTTGCATTAGGGGTTTCAGCGTTAAATTCCCAACAATAAATGGGTTATTTTTATCACATGCTTAGCATGTGACTTGGTTTAGACAACAAAGCAAATGGCTGGGTAAAGTGGGATATCAGAGTTCAAACATAATTTCGGGTATCAAAGTGCAAAATTAAACTTTGGGTATCAATATTCAAAACGAGGGACACTTTGGGGTACTCAAGTTCAATTAAGCCAAAATTAAAGGAAAAGTTGGAGCTATCAATTCCAATTGAAGTCCATACGTACTTTTTTCCTATGAATATATCCATACATAAATTGTATCTAGCTTGAAGACGATCACTTCCAGGTTGTTTCATACTTTCTTACGTTACACAAGAGGAAAGTATATCACATACATGAGATGTTTTGACAACAACGAGAGAATGTTTAAAAAAAATATGCAATATGGGAAAAGAGATGTTACAGACAGAAAATGCAAATGATCCCCAACAACAAAAATGTCCCAAGGCGAATCCCCATCAATGGCCCTGAAGATTTTCTTATTGTGTCCGATCAGCGTGGAAGAGGAACATGAGATGCAAAAGACTTGGAAGGAAGTTATTAGACGGAGTCGTTATTTGGATAAAGAATAATCCTCTTTTACGGAATTTGGTTGCTCTAGTTTGCTCATGATTTTCACACTAAATTGATATGTAAGGAATAAGATGACCATCCAATTGTTTGAAATTCAATAGACACAATTAGTAGATCTTCTCTTAGAATCTTTCCTGGGTAGTGGATTTTTATAAGCCTTAAGCACTGTCTATAGTGGCAGAAGTTAGTCAGCCTATCCAATAAACTTGGTTCAGAGTACAATAAGCCTCATGCGCCTTAATGTAAACAGTGTGAAGTCCTACTCCGCTGAAACTAGTTTATGAGATTGTGGACCCTGTGTTCTTTAATTTGGTCGACATGGAACAGGCTGTGGATTCTAGGACCAGCCTAGGCTTTAATTATGTAGTATGATCTCATTGGAGAACTCAGTCAGATGCACTTGAGCATTTCTCGAAGTCTTGAGAAGGTTTACATAATCCTCATGCACCATTAGACATCGCTACAGGAGTCGATGCTCGTAAATCAAACAAAAGCCTCCAAAGAAAAGCAATGCAAGTCCCAAGCATTCGTTGGATCTCCTTAGTAAGCATTGACATAAGCCCTAGGACCAAGTGCAAGGCAGAGCTTGGATACCTAGCTATGCCTTGCTCGGTCAAAACAAGTTCAACGTTTCATAGAGTCTTTAAGAAACCATTATCCCTAAGCGCTTAAGGCCTTGACAGGAATTATAGTAAATCGCCCTCAGTCGGATTACTCGTAAATTTCCAAAGTGTTAGGCACCACAAGTACTAGAAAAGATTGCTGACATATCGAACAGTCTTAATGAAAGTACTAGGATGGACGAGATCTAAACTCTTTAAACACTTGATTTTAGTTTTTGCGCGCTTTAAATGGCAAAGATCAACCTAGAGGTATGGATCTTTTCATCAAAGACCTACTAATGAGCTTCAATGGGAAGGTTGGCTCCAAAATTTTCAGAAAGTGGCTGAGTGCTCAGACAAAAATACCCTAAATTTTATGGAGATCAAGAAAAGAAGTTTGAACAAGAATTCAAACAAAACTATAACATTCAGATGAAGAATTGAATTTGAGAAAAGCAAACACGTTGGAAAAATACACAAGATAACCAAAGAATTACTTACATACTGACTCATCAGCACAATAGCAATCTCCTCCCTGTTTGTGAACTCTTTAAACGCGTTCTCAATTGCTTTGACGGTCGTTTCTGAGATATAAAATATTAGAGATTAAATAATAAGACAAACAGAGCATTTATTTTCTATTTTAAATTTAAGAAAGATTTTGCCATCCAAGTTTATTTGGATTATGCGGGCAGTGAAAATACACATCAAGGAGAAAAAGATTGAATCTACAAAAGAATAGTATGGCAGAGCAAGAATTATATAGAACAGTAACCAATAGCCGATCTATAAAATTACAAAATTTATCGATCGAGCACAGACAACTTCTTCATATCATAGGCAAAAAGCGAGCTCAATTTTTATATTAGAAATGCAGAAGAGGTCTTTTTTTTGGGCTACTAGGTTTATTTTTAGTTAATAGCATTACCATCCAACTATAGTAACACACAACTCTAATAGCTAAAATATATATTTGCAATGACAGTACTACTAATAACATCAAAATTAAAGCCGCAGGAAAAAGTTAATAATGAGCTCAAGAACTTACTTGAATCCACGATAAGGAAATTTGTATTACGCCGCATATCGATATTGCCAACTCCAGCCATCAAAAAACCAGTTACAGTATCCTAAAAAAGTAATCAATCATTCAGAACAGGTTTCTCAAAAGCAGTTGTTGACAAAAGAATAAAGCTCAGCCTCCATTTTTGACCTCCAGTGATGTTTGGCTAAATTCAATTCATTATGAAGCCTATAAATCTGCTACACCTCTCCTATCTGAAATTAATCGATCCTCCGAAGTAATCCTTGACAGAGCCATTTGAGTGAGAGCAAAAACAAAAGAGAGTCTGCTAAAACTTTGTATGTGCGTTGTATTTGAGAGATTGAATATAGTGAAAGCCCCCTCTTGCCGTGGACGTAGATCAATTTGATCGAACCACGTAAACATTCTGTGTTTGAGATTGTTCTCTTTCTGGCTTTGTGTTTAAATTATCCCAACAACTGGTATCAGAGCTTCTCGGTTCTAGGACAGCTTTTAATCCTCTATAATGGCTTCCGTAAAGTTCTCGGTGTCGATCTTTGATGGCCAGAACAATTTCGGCCTATGGAGGATAAAGATGAAGGCTTTGTTGCGACGTGAAGGCACGGTTAAAGCTATCGATGGGAAATACCCAGAAGATATGACTAGTGCCGAGATCGAAGAGATGGACGAAAAGGCTCACAGCGCCTTGCAATTGTCACTATCCGACAATGTGCTTCGTGAAGTTGCCGATGAGGAAACGGCAGCGGGGTTGTGGTCAAAGCTCGAAAGTCTCTACTTGAAGAAATCTCTTACTACGAGATTATACCTGAAGCAGCGGCTATACACATTGAAGATGAAAGAAGGTACACCCATTCAAGAACACCTTGATGAATTTAATAAAATTGTCATGGATATGAAAAACCTAGATTTAAAGCTTGATGATGAAGACCAGGCTCTCATTGTGTTATGTTCCTTGCCTGACTCTTATGAAAACTTTGTTAACTCTATGTTGTATGGAAGAGAATCCATAAGTCTTGAGGATGTGAAGGCCTCTTTGAACTCTGCTGAGTTGAGAACAAAGTTGAATGGGAGAGGTACCGATGGGCAGGCTGATGGTCTGCTGGGAGAGGTACCGATAGGCAGGCTGACGGTCTGCTAGCCAGAGGTAGAATGAAGACCAGAGAGGGTGATAAAGGGCAATCCAGAAATCGTTCGAAGTCCAGATCAGCCCGAAACAAGAAACATGTGGAGTGTTTTTACTGTCACAAGAAAGGGCATTACAAGTCAGAATGTTATGCTCTAAAGAAGAAAGACAACCAGCGTGGTGAAACCTCAGATTCAGCTAATACGGCAAAGGCTGATACTGCCGTTGTTGCTGAGACGGTTCTTACAGTATGTCCCTTGGATGGCCGTTCCGATAAAGAATGGATCTTGGATACAGGTGCGTCTTTTCATATGTGTCCAAATAAAGATTGGTTCACTACTTACAGATCTATAAGTGGTGGATCAGTTTTGATGGGCAACAATGCAGATTGCAAGACAGTTGGCATTGGTACGGTTCGCATTCGGTGTCATGATGGGATAGTGAGAACTTTATCAGATGTAAGGCACATCCCGGACTTAAAGAAAAATTTGATTTCTTTGAGTTCTTTGGATTCTATTGGGTGTTCTTACACTGGCGAAGGTGGAGCTCTTAGAGTTACTAAGGGTTCATTGGTTGTGATGAAAGGTAGTAAGGTGAACAGTCTTTATGTTCTCCAAGGCAGTACGGTGACAGGCTCTGCAGGTGTGTCTTCTGATGCTGATAGAGACACTACTCAGTTGTGGCACATGCGCTTAGGCCACATGAGTGAGAAGGGGATGACTATTTTGAGTAAACGTGACTACTCTGTGGTGATCATACATCATCACTGGATTTCTGTGAGCATTGTGTGTTTGGGAAGCAAACTCGGGTCAGCTTCTCGACTGGCTCACATACGACGAAGGGCACTCTCGACTACATCCATTCAGATTTGTGGGGACCTGCTCAGGTTCCATCCAAAGGTGGTGCTCTTTATTTTCTAACGTTTATTGATGATTTTTCCAGGAAAGTTTGGGTTTACTTTCTCAGGCGCAAAAGCGAGGTGTTCGAAACTTTCAAGAAGTGGAAAGTACTTGTTGAGAATCAAACTGGAAAGAAGATTAAACGTCTCCGAACAGATAATGGCTTAGAGTTCTGCAGTGGTGAGTTCAATCAGTTCTGCTCAAATTCTGGGATCGTACGACATCGCACGGTCAGGCACACTCCTCAGCAAAACGGGGTGGCAGAACGCATGAATAGAACGTTGATGGAGAGAGCTAGGTGTATGCTCTCAAACTCTGGCTTGGATAAAGGCTTCTGGGCTGAAGCTGTTAACACAGCTTGTTACTTAGTGAATCGGTCTCCTTCTACAGCCATTGAACACAAGACTCCAAATGAGGTATGGTCAGGTAAACCAAATGACTATTCAAATTTAAAGGTATTTGGATGTCCCGCTTACTATCATGTTAGAGAGGGTAAGCTTGAGCCTAGAGCTAAGAAATGCATATTTATTGGTTATGCTGATGGCGTTAAAGGCTATCGTTTGTGGAGTCTTGAACCTGATTCTCCTAAATTCATTATTAGTAGAGATGTTACTTTTAATGAAAGATATATGCTTGATCATGGGAAGGTTTCTGTTGAGTCTACAGGAAATGTAGAGAAGACCATGGATAAGGTGGAGCTTCAGGTGGAGCTCGAGGGAGAGACGTCTCAAAAGTCGTCTATAAAATTTGCTCCTACAGCTGTAGAAGAGCAACATGATTCAGGCTCAGATGCTGATGATGCTGAGACTGAAGAACCTTATTCCATAGCCACTGGCAGAGAGAGGAGACAGATCAAACCTCCTCAAAGATATGCACATGCTGAATTAGTGGCGTATGCTCTCACGACAGCTGAAGAGATGAGTATTCAAGAGCCATCAAACTTTACTGAAGCTGTCTCATGCGGAGAATCTGGACGTTGGGCCACAGCTATGACAGAAGAACTCGAGTCACTCTACAAGAATCAGACTTGGGATTTGGTGCAATTACCTAAGGGTAAAAGGGCAATTGGATGCAAGTGGATTTTCAAGAAGAAAGAAGGGATCCCAGGGGTTGAAGATGCTAGATTCAAAGCACGGTTGGTGGCTAAGGGTTATAGACAAAAGGAGGGAATTGACTATGATGAAGTGTTCTCTCCGGTTGTGAAGCATACCTCCATCCGTGTATTGCTTGCCATGGTTGCTCTATTTGATCTGGAGCTTGAGCAGCTTGATGTGAAGACTGCATTTTTACATGGCGAACTTGAGGAGACTATCTACATGTCTCAGCCAGAGGGATACTTCGTAGAAGGTAAAGAAGATCAAGTTTGCAGATTGAAGAAATCTTTGTACGGCCTGAAGCAATCTCCCAGACAGTGGTACAAGAGGTTTGATAATTTTATGCTTAGTCATGGGTACTCAAGAAGTACTTATGATAGTTGTGTGTACTACATGCATCTAGGAGATGATTCTTTTATTTATCTTCTATTATATGTCGATGACATGCTTATTGCTGCTAAGAACATGTCGCAGATTCTTATTTTGAAGAAACAACTCAGTGATGAGTTTGAGATGAAAGATCTTGGTGCAGCAAAGAAGATCTTAGGTATGGAGATCAGGAGGGACAGGAAAGCTGGAACTTTATATCTCTCACAGAAGAGTTATATTGAAAAGGTGCTTGAACGCTTTGGGATGAAGAAGGCCAAGCCCGTTACGACTCCTTTGGCTCCTCACTTTAGGCTCTCGGCTTCAGATTCACCTACAAGTGAGAACGAGAAGAAGGAGATGTCCCGAGTTCCATACTCCAATGCAGTGGGTAGCATAATGTATGCTATGATTTGCACTCGTCCAGACATTGCCCAGGCAGTCAGTGTAGTGAGCAGATACATGGCTCAACCAGGGAAGGCACACTGGGAAGCAGTAAAGTGGATCCTTCGGTATCTCAGGGGTACCTCAGATTTGGGTTTAGTTTTTGATAGCAGTACTTTGGGAACCTCAGTTGTAGGTTTTGTGGATTCTGACTATGCAGGTGATCTCGATAAAAGGAGATCTTTGACTGGTTATCTTTTTACTCTTTCTGGCTCAGCTATTAGTTGGAGATCGACTCTACAATCGACAGTTGCTTTGTCTACTACAGAGGCAGAATACATGGCAGCAGCAGAAGCGGTAAAAGAGGCCATTTGGTTGAGAAATCTCGTGAGGGAGCTTGGACTTCTACAGGAGGCTAGTTCAGTTGTATTTTGCGACAATCAGAGCGCAATACATCTAAGCAAAAACTCAGCACATCATGAGAGGACAAAGCATATTGATGTCAGATATCATTTCATTCGTGAGGCAACTGTTGAAAGAAACATCACGATGAAGAAGATTGGTACTGCAGACAACCCAGCTGACATGTTGACCAAACCGATCTCGGTCTTCAAGTTCAAGCACTGCTTGAATTTGGGAGGCATTCGCAGTTGTTAGCCAGCCCCGTTTGGGGCATTGTTTGCAAGATGGGGTCGAGTTTCACTTATTCTATTATGAAGTGTACTCTCACGTAAGTTGTGTACATGATGAATATTCAACTTCTTGATGTTTGAAAATTCAATCCAAGGTGGAGATTGTTGATAATGAATTGAATTTAGCCAAACATCACTGGAGGTCAAAAATGGAGGCTGAGCTTTATTCTTTTGTCAACAACATCAAGCTGGGATTGAATCAGTGGCTGGAGTTATTGACAACAAGAGAGAAAGGAGCTGACAGAGAGCCTCCTTTTGTTGAAAATGGAGGGGCTAAGAGTCAAAAAGGTGTTGCTGATTGGTGGAGGAAGAAGAAAGGTGTTGCTGATTGGTGAAAAAAATATAGATTGGTGGCATGATTGGTGGCTTAAATTATGCTAATGAAGCCTATAAATCTGCTACACCTCTCCTATCTGAAATTAATCAATCCTCCGAAGTAATCCTTGACAGAGCCATTTGAGTGAGAGCAAAAACAAAAGAGAGTCTGCTAAAACTTTGTATGTGCGTTGTATTTGAGAGATTGAATA